AAAAAAAAGCCTTGCTTTGCTTGGCCTATTTTCTGCACTGCTGCAATGTTTTATTGCACCTATTTTTATTCCATTTTCCTTATTATAGCAATATTTCTTAATCCAATCGTCTCGTCTGTCTCTTCTTGTCTTTGCCAATTATTTTCACTTGTGTACAGATGTTAAATCGTCCAATTTTCTCCGTCTTTTTATAATCTCTTAGTCTCTGTGGACGTCACAAGTCTGCACAGTAAATCTTAATGAGCGCCATGTTCCCCCCCCCCCCCTCCCAACACTCCTCCTGGTTTTTACTCCCACCCCTGGCTGGGCACTTTAATAAGCTCTGCGTTTAGCCAGGCGGGGGGTTCCCTTTGATCCCAGTAATGAGTTCTGCTCACAAGCGCCACGTACCACATAGCTGCAGGTGAAATGTTCCCAAAAAACGCCGCCTCCTCCTTCACCTTCATTTCTTTAGAGCGTTTCACCTGAGGCTACGCTACGTTTTCAGCACTTTCTCCCTCAACACCACAGCGTTTCCTCAAAGTGTTATGTCGTTATTTCTGAAGAAAAAAAGAAATCACATGTTGTGGAATCCCATTGATATCAGATGTTACATCTCAGAAGGGAGGAAAACGTTCCCTTTGAGGTATAAAAGGGAGGTTTGAGAGATAAATAATGCTTTTTGAAGAGAGACTCCTGAGTGTATTTAGTGTTTTGTGGAAATAAATCATTATTTTGAAGATAATGACAACTTTTGTTGTGTTATTATATTATGGTGGTTTCTTATTTTCAATTTCGTTCACTTGTTCAGGTGATTGTCGAAACATTGAAAAGACTTGCAAAGATGATTTTATTTTTTTTCTAAAGAGGATATAGTCTGCTAATTGTCAGGTGTATATCAGTATGTAGTGCCTCTACTTTAAAGAGTCCTCTCCTGCTGATGTTCAGGTGTATATCAGTATGTAGTGTCTCTACTTTAAAGAGTCCTCTCCAGCTGATGTTCAGGTGTATATCAGTATGTAGTGTCTCTACTTTAAAGAGTCCTCTCCTGCTGATGTTCAGGTGTATATCAGTATGTAGTGTCTCTACTTTAAAGAGTCCTCTCCAGCTGATGTTCAGGTGTATATCAGTATGTAGTGTCTCTACTTTAAAGAGTCCTCTCCAGCTGATGTTCAGGTGTATATCAGTGTGTAGTGTCTCTACTTTAAAGAGTCCTCTCCTGCTGATGTTCAGGTGTATATCAGTATCTAGTGTCTCTACTTTAAAGAGTCCTCTCCTGCTGATGTTCAGGTGTATATCAGTATGTAATGTCTCTACTTTAAAGAGTCCTCTCCTGCTGATGTTCAGGTGTATATCAGTATGTAGTGCCTCTACTTTAAAGAGTCCTCTCCTGCTGATGTTCAGGTGTATATCAGTATGTAGTGTCTCTACTTTAAAGAGTCCTCTCCTGCTGATGTTCAGGTGTATATCAGTATGTAGTGTCTCTACTTTAAAGAGTCCTCTCCTGCTGATGTTCAGGTGTATATCAGTATGTAGTGTCTCTACTTTAAAGAGTTCTCTCCTGCTGATGTTCAGGTGTATATCAGTATGTAGTGTCTCTACTGCCTGTGCTGCAGCACCTCTTTTCACCCTCTGTCTGAAACCAGAGCCCAGTCTGCTCTGATTGGTTAGCTGGCCGGCTTTGTTGTGATTGGGTGACCTCTTAGAGATGTCCCGCCCCTTAGCTTATCACGTACAATGTGTTGGAGCGTTAGGGGGGGTGGGGGCAACACAGAGATGTTAGCCTTTGTAGACCATTTACATGCAAAAACACCTCTTTAACTCACTAGACTAGAGTGATGGAAACATCTAAAAAGATCTATTAATAATGCCTTTAACCTGTTAAGCCCGCAGGGGCTACGGGCTTTTTTTTCACAAAACTGTGTCTCAGGGCTTCTTAACATTTAATAAACTATGAATGTGTCATACTCATTTAATGGGAAGAAACTCAGCTAACTGACGATACGAACAATTTTTACCGAAACAAAACACAAGTCTCACAAGAAGTGTCTAAATGAGCCCTGAGCGAAAAAATGCTACCGCACTTAGCACAGAACTCAAGGTAAAAATACCCTTATTACTTATTGTAACTGCACATACAATATATCGATTAGCAAGCTGAGATTCCACAGATTCCAGAAATATAAGTATCATCACTGAGCGATCAGAAGTCGCGACATGGGAAGCAAATACAGACATCACACCACGGAGCTTTAGGTAGCCAACACGGCAATATGTCTTACCTTTTGCTGTCATTCTGATCAAAAGTTGTCTTCAATGGCATTAAAACGAGAAAAACGCGGCTGAAGGTTAATCCATAGGTTAATCCAATGTGTCTGTCACTTTGAAATGATTACTGATAATCCATAATTCAATTTTTATGTCAAAAACGGAGTTTTCATATTAGCTGCTAACGATAGCTACCAGAGTATATGACAGCTTCCTGTTTTGGGTATTCTGGCTATGCATCACTCTCACTCCTTATTTGGTAACGTGTGTGTGTGTGGAACTTCCCCTCGATTCTATTGGCTCTAACGGTTAAAAAGAGGTGTCAATCATCAAAATCGACCAATGGGTTCCAGAGATATGGGAAATCCACCCAAATGACCCCAGAAGTGTTTTTTTGTTGCTAAATCTCTCTAAAAAGGTCAAATGTCACTGGTTTTGCATCAATCTTGATACAGGGTAGTTATTATATGTTATAGTTTGGATTCCTAAAGCTTTTAGTCTACTATCCCATCATTCAAGGGTGGTTTTCGCTATAAGTAATGTTTTTTTTTTTTGGACGGACACTATAATTTACAGTTTTTTACTATGTAAAATCTGAATTTACTTTAAAATAAAAAAATCTATATTGATTCTGACTTTTCTACATCCAACTCACAGGTTTATCATTGCTTTGAGAAAAAAGATTATTAATTTACCCCTTTTAGAAGTGAAGATATAGTCATTTGTTCTGGGAATGTCATTTTCGAGTCTGAGACCTGAAAAACAGGCTCGGGGCTGAACAGGTTAAAGATTAAATGAAAGGGCTTTAATTAGATATGTAGCCCTGAAACTCTCCTGTAGTATCGTACAATTGCTGATGAAGTCCACGGTATAAATTAGATTTGAGTCCCCTTTGATAATAAGTATTAATACCATTCTGAAAAAAACGTTAAAAAGAAAAAAGTCCTGTACCTTATAAAGACAAAAGTCCTGTTTTAGTGGGATTTCCATCCAGTGTGCTAGGAGCTTTATGTAACATTATTTATATGAAGAACTGTCAAAATGTGCACAAACAGCAGCAAAAGCATAAATCCTCGTGTTCAGTGACAGAACACTGATCCCAGACAATGTCAGCGGCGAGATAAACTGTGGTTTTAGGATAATGACTAGTTCATTCTGAAAAATAGTTATTTTTCTCTGCCCCTCGCTCTCAGACTGATCCAGGCAGGCCTCTATAAAGGCAGAAATAATTATGAAAGTAAACATACAGATGTTCCTTCCTGGTTTCAGGTATACTGCAGCGCTGCAATTACAGAGCGCTCACAGGTATGATGATAGGGCCGGAGACTCGGAAAATTACAGTATCTGGAGTACATCCCCAGATACTATTACATGCCTTTCAAAGCTCCAAACCCTCACTGAAGCTGCGAAAAACATCCAGGAGTTTTTTTGGGTAGCAGGTCAGGGACTAACGTCACATTCAGGATCCATGCTGTGACGGTGATGTGTTCAATGACAGCTCTCTGGGTGAAAGGCCATTAGCGTTTCAACGAGAGAAATGAGAGACATGATTATAGTGTCAAGGCTTTTGTGATTTGTGGCTTCTTATACTCAGGGCATATTGGAAATCAACTTTATTCCCTTACTGCTATGTTAGAGAGCCATCTGCTGGAAACACTGTCCATAATACACAGGCTAATACTCAGAAGCATTAAGGACTGAAGATGCGCTACAGTCATTATTTTCCGTCTTTTTTTGATAAACACAAATTATTTAATCATTAATTTATATTTTGGGTTTCTGTGGACCACCATTTGTAGATACTTCTTCGTCTTTGAGCACCTGTAAAAGCGCTTACAAAATAAATATATTAATCTATTATTATACTAAGCATGTGGAAAAAAATAAAATATGTACCTCATACAATATAATATACCTCACTTTGCATCGTTGGACATTTTATTGTACAATTTTTGCCCGACATATTTGATCGTCAGTTTCCATACCCTCATCATTATTTCTTGTTCCTTGCACTCGTCCAGACAAACAAAAACGCCTCTCTCCTCTCTCTGTGTCCACTTCCTGTACTCGTGAACATTTAAAGGTCACAACAGGGATGCGTTACTTCCTTTTCAGCCACGTGCACGTATTGATCTGCTTTTACTGCTCGCAGCAAGCTGTGTTTAGGGCCCATTTGTTTCTATTTGATCTTACGAGTAATGATCTTATTCACAGAGTCAGCGACAAGCCTTTACAACTGTAGTTACTTGAAGGTCAAGTATGTGAACATGTCTGTTATTAAGGCAGGTTTTTTAGAGGTGACTGCTGAACTATATAGAGGCTGACATTTCCTCCGTGTCTGGAAGTAGTGGAGTACAAATACTTGAAGTACATTTTTTCTGGTATCAGTACTTTACTCCACTACTTATTTTTCTGACCACTTTTGACTTTTACTTCTTACATGTTGAACACAAATACCTGTACTTTCTACTTCTTACATGTTGAACACAAATACCTGTACTTTCTACTTCTTACATGTTGAACCCAAATACCTGTACTTTCTACTTCTTACATGTTGAACACAAATACCTGTACTTTCTACTTCTTACATGTTGAACCCAAATACCTGTACTTTCTACTTCTTACATGTTGAACATAAATACCTGTACTTTCTACTTCTCACATGTTGAACACAAATACCTGTACTTTCTACTTCTTACATGTTGAACACAAATACCTGTACTTTCTACTTCTTACATGTTGAACACAAATACCTGTACTTTCTACTTCTTACATGTTGAACCCAAATACCTGTACTTTCTACTTCTTACATGTTGAACCCAAATACCTGTACTTTCTACTTCTTACATGTTGAACACAAATACCTGTACTTTCTACTTCTCACATTTCCCAAACAGGCTGGTTCCTTTAGTTTGAATGTGTGTTTGGTGGCGTGATCATTATTATTTAGAGTCATTGCGTGCCTATTGATTTGAACACGATCCGTGTATCCATCATTTCCTGGTCTTCTCTAAAGAAGAGGGACCAATGAAAACGTTGTCATGTTGCCGTTGTTCAGCATGGAAACATTCATTAGCTAACAATGACATTATTGTTCTATTAATATAAAGGGAGGTCAGGTACTCTTTAAAACAGCTGCTAGTTATGGGTACTTTTTACTGAAGTACATTTCAAAGCCCTCTTTACTTTTACTTGAGTAAAGAAGTTTAGTCAGTACTTCCACTTTTACCAGAGTATTTTTAAACACGAGTATCTGTACTTCTTCTTGAGTAAAGGATGTGTGTACTGTGCTCTCTGTGTGCAGGGCAGCTTCTATGTGGCCAGTGAGCACAGCCTGCAGAGAGCTCACTCGTGGCACCGCAGGCTGTGCCGCCTCCTGCTGGCGGCTCTCGACGGTCTGACCTCGTACCACTCTGCTCTGAGGAAGGAGATCCCAACGCTGCAGCACACTCTGCACTCAGGTGACCATGATAGATATGATTATGTGTCTTTAAAACATTTCAACATGTCTTCAAATCCAATTAAAATGCCTGAAATCCCTCTACTACAGAAGTATGATTGAGGTAATTCAACTTATTTGTTCATTGCCTTTACATACATCAATCCTGGGCATGGTTAGACAGTTGTAGTATTCACATTGTTTTCTTCAGTAAAAGTACAAATAAAAAAAGTGTAATAATATCATTAATAATAAGATTTACACATTATGTTATAATGATTGCTTTTCCACCACTGGTTAACATCACACCATTTAATGTTATGGCCTTCAATAAAGTAATTTCATTTTTATGGTTTTACTATTCAACTCCAAATATGATTAGATTATATTTGTTATGTGTGCTTTTGAATTCAAGACCTTTAGTTCCGTTTTAATAAGTGTTAATATCAAAATACAATAAATATGACTGTCTTTAAATCAAAGTGTATTAAAATCCTTTGCACTAAACTCTTTTCATTTATTTCCCCAGAGGAGCTTCCTGTAGAAGAAACTCTGAGTCGCCTCACACAGGAGTTACAGGTACGTTCATTCAACACGTTAAGCGTCTTTAGTGGCCTGCGATGAAGTTAGATGATAACTTTATTTGAACATTGTTTTCTGTAATCATTTGAACCTATTATTATCCTGTTTTTTCAGTTTTCAAATTGAAAGTAAAGTAAATGTTTGGTTTACCCTGCAAAAATAGCTGTACGACAGAATATGTAGACAGCTTAGCCATTGTTATAGGTTTAAGGCAGGGGTCGGCAACCCGCGGCTCTTTAAGCCCTCTGCTCTGGCTCCCTTGAGTTTAGACATAAATAAGAAGGAAATGAAATAAAAGTATTTGTAGGACTATTTAAATGTTGTTGCACGGTTGAAAATGTTTCGTATCTTTTATTTTGAGGTGATACAATATAAAAACAAAAAGGTTTTAATAAGGTCAATTAAAATATGCGTCACATCCTGCTACGGTCCCGCACGGGCGCCTTTTCTTGCAGGCGAATAACCTGACCCCCGGCTCGATGAGCGAACTATGGATACATCAATGAAAAGAAAAGTATGGGAGGAACACAGAGGGTTTAATTCTGCGTGGACAGAGTTATCTGCTTTCACAGCAAACGATGCTGGCTTACCGGGATGTTTGATATGTAGAGAGAAGTTGTCAAAGGTGCTGCAGCTTTACGTATTGGAGGAAAAACATGGGAGAGGAAGACAGCTGACGATCTTCATCATAATTCAATCAGTTAACTCTTTTTAGGGTGCAGCTATAGGTTTTATATATTTCAAAGTGGGTCAATTTTAATTGTATTTTTTTTCCTTCAAATGTGCAGAGGACTCCCCAAGTGCTGTGTTTAATTTATTTTAAAGGGGACCTATCATGCAAAATGCACTTTTGTACGTCTTTTCTACATGAATATGTGTCCCCGGTGTTCCAGGGAACTCACCAAGTGTCAGAAAACACAACCCTCTCTATTTTCCTCCATACCCAAATCTCTAAAAAAGGGGCTGCAACGGATCTGATAAAAACTGATCCAGATTTGAACACTGTCCTGACGTCAGGACGGTGGCGCTACGGCTATTGGGCCAACTCCACCAATCAGGAGGAGACAGCCACGGCCATTGCCGTTCGAAAGCGCTGGAGACACTGTAGTACATATGCCAGGCCTGTAGATGGTGCTGTTCTCGCAGAATCAGCCCTTGCTAAAACAGAGCTAACATTTTTCAAATTGAGCAAAATGAGGCATGGCTAAAATGCATGATCTGTTTGGTATTTTGAAAAAAAAAAAGTATAAATATGCCTTATATAGGTATGGCCCTACACTATATTATTATAATATAGCATGATAGGTCCACTTTAAAGTAGGCCTGTGTATTCTTTTTTTATTCTCCTTATAAGAGTTCTTTGTACTCAATTTTATAATGTAATAAATAATAAATGCAAAAAAACTCTAGTTTTTGTATATGATATAACAATAAATACAACTTTATAAGATATCAAATATGTTTTGCGGCTCCAGACAAAACGAATTGTTGGAAAAGGGGGAAAAATGTCTCTTTTGGTCAAAAAGGTTGCAGACCCCTGGTTTAAGGGAACAGATATGATCACAATATGTTCTTACATGAGTACAAACTTAAAGAAAAATAAATATAATCAGTGGAATTTTTTAATTTGTGGATTGTTGTTTTATTGCTCGATTTTAATGCGACTTTTACTATATTTATTTGTCGTCCTTTTTTTTACTACCTCTGTAAAGCGACTTTGAGCACCTGTAAAAGCGCTTACAAAATACATTTATTATTATTATTATTATTAAGTGAGACATTAAACTTACATTTCTTAAAACACGCGTCAATAAATATTGTTCAGATGTATTTTAGGACTGGTATGATGGCCCTTCTGCTCTAACCAGCCTTTCGAACAGCGAGGGTTTATTGATCGATGAGTCTAACATGACTTTTCTAAACTGATCCAGAGTCAGGCAGACTGCAGACTCCACATTGTCTGTAGGATCCCAGAATAGGAGGCTATATTTCAGGAAGTGTGACGCATTCAGTCTGATGTTATCTCTGTTTCTGACCCCTCCGTGTGTCCCTCAGCTGCAGGAGGTCCATGACGGGGTGGCGGAGCAGATCAGCCGGGACGTGAGCCAGCTCTGCTCCCAGCTGGCGGCCCTGTGGAGCAACTTCCTGCTGAACGCTGTGCTCAACCCCCACATCCTGTCCTATCTGGCCCAGGAGCATCACACACTCAGGGTGAGAGGGACTACATTCACACACACACACTTATACACATCTCTCAGACAACAGGGACGAGCATTCACACACACACACACTTACAGTATACATCTCTCAGAGAACAGGGACTGCATCCAAACACACACTTATACATCTCTCAGACTACAGGGACGAGCATTCACACACACACTTATACATCTCTCAGACTACAGGGACGTGCATTCACACACACACTTATACACACCTCTCAGACTACAGGAACGAGCATTCACACACACACTTATACATCTCTCAGACTATAGGAACGAGCATTCACACACACACTTATACACATCTCTCAGACTACAGGGACGCATTCCCATATCACACATCTCCTCAGACTCCAGGGACGAGCATTCACCACATACCACTTATACACATCGCTCAGGACCTACAGGGACTGAGCATTCACCACACTACACTTATACATCTCTCAGACTACAGGGAATGAGCATTCACACAACACACTTATACTACACTCTCAGACTACAGGGTAACGAGCATTCACACACACACTTATACACTCTCTCAGGACTACCAGGAACGATGCATTCACACACACACTTATATAGTACACATCTCTCAGACTACAGGAACGAGCCATCACAACACAGCCCTACTATACACATCTCTCAGGACTACCAGGAACGAGCATTCACACACACACTTATACACATCTCTCAGACTACAGGGACGAGCATTCACACACACACTTATACATCTCTCAGACTACAGGGACGAGCATTCACACACACTTATACATCTCTCAGACTACAGACGAGCATTCACACACACACTTATACCATCTCTCAGACTACAGGACGAGCATTCAACACACACACTTATACACATCTCTCAGACTACAGGAAACAGAGCATATCACACACACACTTATACACATCTCTCAGACTACAGGAACGAGCATTCACACACACACTTATATACATCTCTCAGACTACAGGGACGAGCATTCAAACACACACTTATACATCTCTCATACTACAGGGACGAGCATTCACACACACACTTATACATCTCTCAGACTACACGGACGAGCATTCACATACACACTTATACATCTCTCATACTACACGGACGAGCATTCACACACACACTTATACATCTCTCAGACTACACGGACGAGCATTCACACACACACTTATACACATCTCTCAGACTACAGGGACTGCATCCAAACACACACTTATACACATCTCTCAGACTACAGGAATGAGCATTCACACACACACTTATACACATCTCTCAGACTACAGGAATGAGCATTCACACACACACTTATACATCTCTCAGACAACAGGGACTCATCCACATCACACACTTATAAACATCTCTCAGACTACAGGGAAGAGCATTCACACGCACACTTATACATCTCTCAGACTACATGGACGAGCATTCACACGCACACTTATACATCTCTCAGACTACAGGGACGAGCATTCACACGCACACTTATACATCTCTCAGACTACAGGGACGAGCATTCACACACACACTTATACATCTCTCAGAGAACTGGGACTGCATCCACACACACACTTATACATCTCTCAGACACCATGTTCACTGTCTGAGCCACAGAGTCCTTATTGGAGGGCATTGATGACGGTTTGTGCCGATATGTTGGAGGAAGTATTCACATCCCATGTAAGAAAAAGTGCCCCAGAAGTAGCACACTGAAAATGTTACTTTAAAAAAGGTATGCAAGAAGAGTCAGGAAAATGTAATAATCAAATCAAATATAAAAATATTATGATACACTATTGTATATTATATCTTATACTATTTGTGTGTACTGCTAACTAATTGTTATGTTTATTATGGATTCACCCGCTCAGTATTTTCTCCACTATTTAATTGATTTGTGAAAATAGTGAGAAACCTCCACATTATTAACTAAACAAGCAAATTCTGACATTTTAGAAGTTGTAATCATGAATCTTAATTTGATCGTTGTTTTAGAAATAACATACTGTAGTTGCAATTTCATTTTCATCAACTAAAACAATCTGTATTTGTATTTAATGGTGGTTTAATTCATAACGATTCATCATGCTGTATTTTTAAAACTCTTCATACATTTTGTTTGCAAAAATCTTAATCCGTACAGAAGCTAAAGCGTTATTACTTATTACCCAATGAGACGCAGTGTAGTGAGAGTAGAAAGACTAGGCATTATATAAAAAAAGGATCTTCCACCATACTGAAATGCTCTTAAAGGTCCCATGTCATGTTATGACCCGTCCCCTTGTGTGTTATGAAGGTTTGTCTGCATGTAAACGGTCTGCAGAGTCACAAACCCTCAAAGTACACCCTGTAGCGAGTAAAACTCTAACACAGAAAAGACCTGTCTATGCTGCCCCAGAACGCCTCGTTGGACATTTCTCATTTTCCATTTGTTGGTCCATTTTGGTTCCAGGAACCGCATGACGTCATGCAGTTCCCGGAACCAAAATGGACCAATCCGCGGAGCTCCTCACACACCAGGACCTTTAGCATACATTTGCAACTAACAGGGAGTCCCCATTGACTTGCATAGAGCTCCCTGGTTGGTAATAGACGAGTTGGGATCGTGGAGAAATGCTCTCTGCAGACCCATTCTCACAGTGTTATAAACCTTTTTCTTACTCAATATCAAGCCACATTTATTGTTTTTACTTCGGCTGTGAGTGTGTGTGTGTGCTCAGGATGAGTTTCGGGCTGTCCCGCTGTATCGCCGACCCGGAAACCACACGAGTAAGCCAGATCATTGAGCAGCGAGCCTTGCAACGTCTCGACCAATCAGAGAACACTGGGCTCACAGAGGGGTGGGGCAGGAGCTCCAACAAGCCGTTTAGGACAGAGAGTGAATACACATACTTTACAGAGATGCTGTATGAGAAACCAATGTGAGTTTGGAAAATTGCACAATTTAAATCTATTCTAGTAGACCTCAACAATGGAATTATGATCTGTAGAAATGGCCATGACATGGGACCTTTAAATGAATAAATAATACAATTTAAACAGCTTTGGTGAGGAAGTAATCTTTACAAACAGACTGAAAACATAGCGTCTTGGCGGAGATAATATTAAACGAAATGATAACATGGACATCTCGCCCTCAGTCGTTTAAACCCTGCTGAGTAAACTAATATATTTCTAATCACTGAGCTGTTTAATATGAAATGTGCTTCGCAGTGGAGCGGCTCTCAACTCTCTTATGTGGCATTGTTTCGCCTCAGTTGTCTGAAAAATAATGAACATGTTTGCTTTGGTTCTAGATTACCCCGAGGGCACACTGTCATGCCTTCACCCACCAGTGGAGCTAGGATTTCAATTAACACTCATTCTGTAATTATTATGGGCTGGATTTACACCACAAACAGTGTTCCTGGTGATTTAACACTGGCTGACTCACAAGCATGATGCATGTCTAATCGAAACAACCTTGGATGTTTTTTCACAGACCTGAAGAAGTGATTGAATCCGTGTTTGTGTGCAGAGCTTGAATTTCCGACTGTTTTCATAATGTTATGCTGTAATGCCAATAAAGACGAGACTCTGGCTCCACTGATGTGACAATGTTTTGTCTTGTTTCTGGCAAATCCAGGTCAGAAGGTTCTCCGAGGCGTACTTCTTCACAGAACACCCCAAAGAGATATCTCTGACTTTTCAAGAGGAACTGTAAGTATTAGTACGGGAGCCATTACGATCAATTTTCAAAGTCTGATCTGAAAGCAGTCTCTCCCGTGTTTATGACTTAAAGTGGACCTATCATGCTATATTTGAATAATATAGTGTAGGACCATACCTATATAAGGCATATTTATACTTTTTTTTTTTCAAAATACCAAACAGATCATGCATTTTAGCCATGCCTCATTTTGCTCAATTTGACAATTTCTAGCTCTGTTTTTGCAAGGGTTGATTCTGTGAGAACAGCACCATCTACTGGCCTGGCATATGTACTACAGCGTCTCCAGCGCTTTCGAACGGCAATGGCCGTGGCTGTCTCCTCCTGATTGGTGGAGTTGGCCCAATAGCCGTAGCGCCACCGTCCTGACGTCAGGACAGTGTTCAAATCTGGATCAGTTTTGATCAGATCCGTTGCAGCCCCTTTTTTAGAGATTTGGGTATGGAGGAAAATAGAGAGGGTTGTGTTTTCTGACACTTGGTGAGTTCCCTGGAACACCGGGGACACATATTCATGTAGAAAAGACGTACAAAAGTGCATTTAGCATGATAGGTCCCCTTTAAGAACACGTCAAAAGGTTTTGCCATCTTTCTAAATGCAAGTTACAAAATTAAGTCTCACCATTAAGAAAACTGTCTTAGTCTTATGTACAGTACCAGTCAAAAGTTTGGACACACCTTGTCTTTCAATGGTTTTCGTTTATTTAAAAATGTTTGTACTTTGTAGATTAATACTGAAGACATCAAAACTATGACAGAACACGTATGGAATTATCTAGTAAATAAAAACCTTCGAATGAGAAGATGTGTCCAAACCTTTGACTGGTAATGTAGATCATTGGGTAGTGCTGCACTTCAGCCTATTGTAGCCACAATTAGCTTAAAAACAACAAACACTTAGAGATAAGATGCTCCTGCTTCAGATTGTTCACCTGCCAAAACCTTATTTTAATTTTTCACACATAAAGAAAAGCAACTTAGAAATATTATTCTGGCAAACTCCTGTTCTCAAGTCACAAACCAACGAGATAAATCAACTTGAATCAGACTTAGGAAAATGGATGTCAAGATTGTTTGCCCTGCCAACTTCCCTTACAGGGTTTTTCGTATATCAGCCCACCCATGATAAAATACGTTATTCTTCATATGGAGAAAAGTTCAATCATGGTATTATTATTCTTCTTCATTCAGGATCAATAGACATGGCCAGATAGCTGCAGACGTGCGGAGCTCAGACTATCTGACCAAGATGCCTCCTCTACCTGTCGAGTGCCTGGACATCGATGGAGACTGGAACAGCCTGCCGATCATCTTCGAGGACCGATACGTGGAATCTCCTCAAACAGGTAATATAAGACTGAAATGATTCACAGCAAAATACATTTTCTTTTGCTATTTGTTAAAAAAATATCACTCGTCCCCGGCTTGATCTTCAATATCAGAACACATGTATGTATGATCCTCTCCAGAATGGAAGTAGTCATCACATACAGAGCATCAACTAGTTCCTGAACAGTGTCCTTCACATGCTGATATCCAAGAGAGGGAGTTACACAGTCACAAGATGGAGGAATAGAAAGCAGTATTCAATGTTTACTTCAGATTAGCTCCACGTCAGAAATGAGCATGCTTGTCATATGTCTATCTCCATAGAGGCTGAATCATCATGTTAATCACATAGCTATCATATGCCTCAAACAGTCCTGATGCTCTTCTAGGTAATCACACATCCTGTCATGTTCACAGCTACAGTTGGGATACCTTTGTTATCATGTTACTCTCATATTGGAAGAGTACATTCAGTATTTTCCCAACACCATTACATAAAGTTAAGTGCAATGCCTTTCTCTTTCCAGAGTGGGAATCACATGGGCCAACCGCTGATGGGAAGACCAACCCAGGTCTCAATGGGATTTTTGAAAGCAGGCAGGAAGACAGAACAGCAGCAAAACTCAAGGATCAAATGGACATTGATGACTGCATGGACCTGCCCACATATATGTCACTCATGGCAGAGCAGAGTAAAACCAGCACTAACATCAGAAGTACCCAGAACATCATCCTAACTAAAGACAATGCTGAACCCTCTCTACTAGAGGAAGAACTCTTAAAGCAACCAGAGGAAACACAAGACCAGGATGTGGACAGCTGTAATCCAGATCTGAGGTTCATTGAAGTTAAGCCTTGTGATGAGGATCCGTGTAGAAGAGAAGCAGTCCTCTCCTCAAACCACAACCCCCTCATTGACACCAATAACATCAGTGATGAGTCTCCTGCTCATCAGTTAGAAAATACCGTCCAACTTTGCGATGCAACCAGTGACAGCAACGCGCGAGAGAGTGAGAACACTGAAGAGGAGTCTGATATTGCCATGCCATTAAACCACTCTATGGACGATGAGAGTGAAGATGTTCCTCCTGGCAGCGTACAGACTTCCTACGCTCATCCGGTTATACCAACCTTTCCGGGCGATCTCAGAAAAGAGATGATTCACCGCGGAGGCCTGGTGGGCTCCAAGATCATGAAGCGCTCGTCCTCGGTTATTTCTGACTCGGGTATCGAGAGCGAGCCCAGCTCAGTGGCCTGGCCCCTCGAGGCTGTGCTGAGAGGCAGACCTCCCCTTGACTTCTCCAGCGAAAGAGAGATCCCACGACAAATAGTGTGTCGCCACCGGGTTCACCGAAGCTCCCTGGAAGGCCTCCAAATGGAGAGCAACGGCAGCGGAGGTATACAAGCCTCCCTCACCTCTATTAGCTCCTTGCCCTATGAGGATGACCAGAGGCAGCTCAGCAAACTGACCAAATCTGTGTCGGCACCGCAGATCAGCAGCCCTGAAGACACTGAGGAGGACCGTGTGCTCAACCAGGAAATAGATAGCTTAGTGCAACATTCATTGAATATCAACTGCTCTTCTTCGAACCTGGATTCAGTTCAAACAGAATCATCTCTATTAGATCCGAGTTCAGCGACAAATCTTATCCTGGAGGAGAGTATTCGCTCTGAAAGCTCTGCTCAGTACCTGCCAGAGACGAGCATAACCCAGTCCGTGTTAAGTGGTGTGTCTGAAGGACTGATTTTACAAGAGTCTGTCGAGGGCCCTCATGTGAAGGCAAGTGCTGTTATTGGCAGCCAGGGGGAGAATAAGAACCATCAAACACACATCAGTGGAGAGAGCGCCTCAGTGGAGGATGTGCATTTCGCTGAAACAGAAACAGTGCCCTGCAGCTGTGGAAACAGACCATGTGTGCATAAAAGTGCAGCAGCTCAGGAGAGAATGAACTCTGAGGATGAGTGGCAAAGTTTCCATGAGAGCGAAGTGATTCACGTTGAAGACCAGGAGTGTCTGGATCTTTTAGGGCTTCAACAAACCAAAGATCTCCCCAGAAACATTGCTCAGAGGCCCAGTGACCTTTCAGGGTTGATAGCCAATGATATCGCATCACCTGTCGACCTCACTGGGGTATCAACCAGTGAAAAAGAGCCTTTAGAGTGCCAGACGAAGCCCGCTAAGATACACAACTCTGGGCTGGCCTTCGTGAATAAGAAGATGGTGGAGGTGGTGAACCTGTCGGTGTCCTGCGCCCCCACCTGTCTGCCATTTTCTTCTGCTCTGAGAGACTCTCCTTCCATCAATGGGATGTCCGCTCGCCAGGCTACCTCGCCGATCACCAATCAGCCGCTGGGCTCCTTCGGTATCATCTCCTCGTATTCGCTCAATCCCCTCAACATGGACGACGAGTCCAATGAACGGATGCTGAAGTGAGTTCATGTTTCACTTCAACATAGGACAGAGGCTGCTGAAAATGTGTTTTAAACGCCAATGTAAACATGTGTAAAGGCCTGTCTACTTAAAGACTTGAAGTTAAAGTAGCATTCCTAGACTTATCCACTAAATTCAGATTCATTACCGGATTATTGGATTGTCAAAAGAGGTAGCTTTTGTTCGACATTTGTTTTCATTTTGTGCCCTTTTTGATAACTTTGTTGGAGTAATATTATAAATAATCCATGACAACTACAGACATAACGCCAAAAGACAAGGTGTTATGGGTATGTGGAGATGACTGTTGACATGTGGTGCCGTAGCTGGCAGTTACTCATGCTTGGAAAGCCTAACAAAATGCATTGAGGGCAAACATGAGGTGCGAAGGCGAGGCGAGTGTGTTTAGTAACATCAAAGAGAGAGCAGACACATCCATCATGATGAGCAGAAAGTACAGGAGCTGGAGTCAGATTTGTTTTGACTCACAGCTCAGATCTGTAACCTGGTGAGACGACAGGGTGTACAACTTAGAGAAGCTGCTTATAAGTCTGTGAGACTATTGTGTGGAGGTTTGCTCAGAAGTAGACAAATGTTAACTGAATTAATCAAATACAAAATGCAACAGATGTTTTATACAAACTTTACTGCTTAATAAAATCTTAGATCAGCATCTTTTGGCAATTTCATGTTTACATAGTACACCATTTAATCTCATGGTTTCTTTTACCAAATGTCATCTGCCTTTCCTCCAGTTTCTACAAAGCCAAAGAGGATCTGCTGAAAGAGTTGAGCTTCCAGGCGAGTCTTTACAGCGACCTTCCTCTCCTGGCCTCAGATCTGCCGTACTTCCCCCCCGAGGAGGATGACGAGGAGTTTGATGACGGCATTCACCTCGTGGTGTGTGTCCACGGGCTGGATGGTGAGTCCACATGCAAGGTTCTGGTTCACTGGCAGCAAAATACCACTGCAAGAGTTAAACATGCAAAGACATGGGAGGTGGGATGTTATGGATCGTAGTGTTATGACTTTGCAATACAAAATGTTACATACTAAAATAAAAGCTATTTTCTAAATTAAATGTTCATATCAAAATGTATTAAAGCCCCAAATCACAAGAAATGCCTCAAAGGGCTGTACAAAGCAAAGACAAAAACAAAATACAAACATCATAGCATAACAATTATAAAAACATTATACATCATCATAAGTATTGCCATGTGATAAAAGCATGTGACAGAAGTGATGGTAATGTTGAACAGACACTAGGTGAGGGAAATCATTTACAGAATTCCTCTGACATTAAAGTGGACCTATCATGCTATATTTGAATAATATAGTGTAGGGCCATACCTATATAAGGCATATTTATACTTTTTTCTTTTCAAAATACCAAACAGATCATGCATTTTAGCCATGCCTCATTTTGCTCAATTTGACAATTTCTAGCTCTGTTTTAGCAAGGGCTGATTCAGTGAGAACAGCACCACCTACAGGCCTGGCATATGTATTACAGCGTCTCCAGCGCTTTCGAACGGCAATGGCCGTGGCTGTCTCCTCCTGATTGGTGGAGTTGGCCCAATAGCCGTAGCGCCACCGTCCTGACGTCAGGACAGTGTTCAAATCTGGATCAGTTTTTATCAGATCCGTTGCAGCCCCTTTTTTAGAGATTTGGGTATGGAGGAAAATAGAGAGGGTTGTGTTTTCTGACACTTGGTGAGTTCCCTGGAACACCGGGGACACGTATTCATGTAGAAAAGACGTACACAAGTGCATTTTGCATGATAGGTCCCCTTTAAAATAAGTATTAGTTCAACGAGCAACACTCACATTTAGTTTGCGCCAGAGAGTGCATATGATCCATGGGGTAGTGCAAATTCAAAGAAAATTGGTCATTGAATCAAGATTGTGTGCCATTGCTGAAACCACATTTGAAAAAAAATGTGTATTACAAAAACTATGAAATAACAAAACACAATATATCAAACTGGCTTTAGAAACCCTGTCATGAACTGACTCATTCCTAGCTTAGTGTTTTAGTGTCTTTTAACGATTGTAAATGTAGTAGAGTCTCTTAAACCTTGTCCTACAAACTTAGAAATATCTCTTTGCATTGTTTGTTCTGTGAACACTAATGCCAGGTGTGTGTTACTTAAATGATCAATGTGCCAGAAACTACATATCTTCCTCTCTACTCGTAGGAAACAGTGCAGACCTCCGGCTGGTGAAGACTTTCATCGAGTTGGGACTTCCAGGATCCAGACTGGACTTCCTCATGTCTGAAAGGAACCAGGTACGTTTGGGGAAATGGGGAAAAATGTATCACATGAAACATTTTCTAAGTTGATTTGTAGCATGCTGACTACCGTGGTTTTTCTTTCCCTGCAGATCGACACGTTTGCAGATTTCGACACGATGACGGACAGGTTGCTGGATGAGATCATTCAGCACGTCCAGCTGTACAATCTCACTATAGGCAGGATCAGGTCAGTCGCTCTACATTAAAACTGTGCCACACACACATTAAACTCTCCTTTTGATTGATTATGATTGATTAGCTGAGTTAGAACAGGGGGGATTCAATCAATTTGAGCAGAATGTTACAAGCATCCAGAACAAACTCAGCCAGACTGAACAATACAGAACTGAGTGGAACTGTGTGTGTGTGTCAGTGTGTGTGTGTGTGTGTGAGAGAGAGAGAGAGAGAGAGAGAGAGAGAGAGAGAGAGAGAGAGAGAGAGAGAGAGAGTGTGGCCTAGCATTACTATACTTGTGGGGACCTAAATCTGTTTACACAGTCACGTGTGGGGACTCGCCTCCCTTATGGGGACAACATGGAGGTCCCCATAAGGGGAATCATTCATTTTAGGGTGAAGACTTGGTTTAGGTTTAGGTTTAGGGTTAGGCATGTGTTGGTTATGGTTAAGGTTAGGATAAGTCTCCAGGAAATGCATGTAAGTCAATGTAATGTCTCCTGAAGTGATGTATACAGTACATGGTATGTGTGTGTGTGTGTGTGTGTGTGTGTGTGTGTGTGTGTGTGTGTGTGTGTGTGTGTGTGTGATTGTATGTTTGCTTATTTGTCTGTGTGTTTTTCTCTTATATGTTATTTTATGCAATTTTTTTAAATGTTTGCAAGGTTCTATGTAAGACTTGTCTCTGTAAATCTGCAATTATGAGTATAATTACATGCGTGCTTGTGTGCGTATCGATAAATGTGGATTTTGTATATATTTTTTAAGGTTTAAAACATGTGAAGATAAATATTTTTGTCATAAAAGTACATTTTATGTCAGGTTGAACCCTTTTTTGTACACTTTGTGAAAAATTGTCTTTGGTGCAACCATAATCGACATGAATAACGAATAAGAAATAAGTAAGAAAATAGTAAAAACATGTTTTATTCAGCTGTTTACTTTGAGCCTATATGCTTATAAACTCATTCTCTTTGGGCAGTAGATGGCAGCAGAGACTGCCCATCCTCAGCATGAATGCCGTAACTCCTGAGAATCCCTGTTTCATGATAATTTATTGTCTCTACGTTCCCGAGAAGGATTAGAAGCACAAAATGGATGAAAAGCTGTTATCATAGCGTGCCAATAGGTTTCTGACTTTCACTTGATGGACTGTGCTCCTCTATGCTGCAGTGTGTTGCCTAGTTCTCATCAAATTAAGCCATTCATCTTCCCACTTAATTACCCTCAATGTGCCAATTTATTCTTTTGTAAGAGTTGCTACCCAACTTACTTTATTGTGGCGTATTCTCTGGAGAATAAGTATCAAAAACAAAGGCAATGGACTGCCACAACAGCATCTGGTTCTTCCCACATTACTGCTATATTTAGTCTAATAGGAGATAAATGAGAAGGAGGGGGAACAGCAATGAGGGATTTTGGGTAAAGCTATAACAGTTTAGTAATTAAACGAAGTGACAGACATATAGCTTCATGAATCTGCTGGGAGAGCTATTCATTTGTATGCTATATCCTCTGTGTTTAGCGTCATTAAGTTGCCTTTGAGAATGTTTAACAAGTGAATGAATTTCTGAAATTACCAAATGTTGTAGCTAGAATCTCAAAATAGCTCGAACTACTTCCTACATACAGAAGAATCTATAATAAGCGATGCTCACGGTGTCAGAGGTCAGCAGAGTTGGAGGCGTTGTTTTTTCCACTCGCCCACTCACGCTGCGAGTTTCTCTCACTGAAAGTTGTTTGTCTTCGGCCAACAGCTTCATCGGCCACTCTCTGGGGAACGTCATCATCCGGTCGGTGCTGACGCGGCCTCGTTTCCGCTGCTATCTGCCCAAACTGCACACTTTCCTCTCGCTTTCAGGCCCACACTTGGGAACGTTGTACAACAGCAGCACTTTGGTCAGCACAGGTGAGGCCACCGCGCGAAAAACTGCACACTGCTTTATTTACACAATGCATCGCCATGTTTGGTCCTCCTCAGCATCCTTTTATATCTACTGTTAGAAAAATATCACTCGTCACCAGCTTGAGCTTCGATCTCAGGATCCATGTATTTATGATCCTCTCAAGAATGGAAGTAGTCATCACATACAGAGCATTTGGTACAACTAGTTCCTGAACAGTGTCCTTCACATGCTACTACTACAATTACTTATACTACTACCACTACAACTACTACTACTACAACAACAACATCTACTACTACTACTACTCCAACTTATACTACTAACACCACTACTACTCATACAACTATCAATACAACTACTACTATTACTACTACAACTACTTATACTACTACGACTATTACTAGTAATACAACTACTACTACTGTTATTTATGATCCTCTCAAGAATGGAAGTAGTCATCACATACAGAGCATCAACTAGTTCCTGAACAGTGTCCTTCACATGCTACTACTACAATTACTTATACTACTACCACCACTACTACTACTACTACTACTACTACTACTACTACTACTACTACTACTCCAACTTATACTACTAACACCACTACTACTCATACAACTATTACTCCAACTACTACTAGTAATACAACTACTACTACTGTTGAAAAATATCACTTTAGCTGGATTAGCTCCACGTCAGAAATGATCATGCTTGTCATATGTCTCTCTCCATAGAGGCTGAATCATCATGTTAATCACATAGCTATCATATGCCTCAAACAGTCCTGATGCTCTTCTAGGTAATCAGACATCCTGTCATGTTCACAGCTACAGTTGGGATACCTTTGTTATCATGTGGACTCTGATATTGGTAGAGCACATTCAGTATTTTCCCAACGTCTACCAATACCATCCATACTGCTCTGCTTCTACGCCTGATTGTGTTTTGTTTGTGTTGCTCAGGTCTGTGGTTAATGCAGAAGTTGAAGAAATCAGGATCGTTGCTACAGCTCACCTTCAGAGACCACGTGGATCCACGGAAAACATTCCTTTATGTCCTGAGTCAGAAACCAGGTACTGTGTGAAACAAAGACAGTATATTGACTGCTTCCCTTTACAGACTATTACATGAAAGACAACCTGTTCAAATATTCATGAAAATCTTGTCTTTTTTGTCAAATATCTGTACGTGTCAGCTCGCTAACACTCAACCCCTGCGAGAGGCCTCCCCACTGTTAGAGTGGAACAAAGCAGTCGTTTGTCACACAGGCTTGAAGAAGATAAGCCTGAAAACACTATTTTACCCCTCCAGAGCTGTGGCAGGCTGACAAAATGATCCAAACCCTGTCATTGGAAACCCACCAGCGCACTCCGTTAAAAGCACACTGACAGCAGACTTGAGAAGAAAAAAACACGGTTTTATCGTATCAAGCCTGTCATTGTTCTTGTGATTGCACTTTGCGTTTTACAACCAATTCACTTTCCTTTCAACTGTCTTCCTGTCTGTCTGGCACACACACTGCAGTCTCATTATCGTGTTTGTTATGTGTCGTTTCAGGGCTCCAGTTCTTCAAGAATGTGGTGTTGGTGGCGTCTCCACAGGACCGATACGTTCCTTTCCACTCAGCCAGAATAGAGATGTGCAAAACTGCTCTTAAGGACAGGACCACAGGTGAGGCGTGCATGCTGTATCGCTAAATTGGATCGTCTTTCAGTATTGAAAACAACAAACCCAGTTTTTCTTTACAAATATCAATGCCAATACTGACTACAAGTTCAATACTGTGCCAGAGTATCTGTTACATCACTTAGTTCAACTAACCGGGATAATATAAAGTGACACTGTTATTTTTTAAAGAATAAATAACACATCCTTTCTCCTTTGAGTCGACATTTATTTTCCAAAGCAAATAAATGCACACTTTCACAATTCAATATGCCCATTAGCATTGCTGCTACAGCCCTATTTGCTCTGGTATTATCAGCAGGTTATGGTGGCAAGCTAGAGATTGAGCATTGTGACTTTTGTTTTCTAAAGCCCCTTTCCAACTGGACTGAAAACAAACAAATAACGTCTGACAGTTGCTTTTTAATTTGTCCCTTTACAAATGAATTTACAGTATGTGACACTTGTTGAATTGGATACATACATTAGTAGAGGTAACCACTGTAAGTGCTTTAGAAAGAAGCCTATCACCTTGATTGAAGTGGGTTTTTATCAACTTGCATACACGCGAATTTCAGTGGAAAAAAGGGTTTAATTCACTCAGTAGGACAGTATGGGTTTTTCACCTTGTTTTACCTTAAACCATTATCCTGTAAACACCACATTTAGCCACATTGGCCTTTTTTGTTTTACAAAAAACTGATGTATGTAACAAGAGGGCTTCTACACCTACACACATTTCTCAACGTGTATAAAAGCTATAGCCAACAGCCACTTAGCTTAGCCTAGTTTAGCTTAAAGACTGGAAGCAGGGGGAAACAGCTAACCTGTAATTTACTTTACAGCAGCTCAAATGAACAAGGTTATATGTTTTCCTTTTACCCTAAATTAGAGGACGCTTTATACAAAAGAAGTCCAAAATAATTGGAAGACTCAAGAAGTAATAATAATACATTGTACTTTTAAAGCACCTTTCACAGCTAAAAGCAATCCCAAAGTGCTAAATAGCAGCTGAAAAGACATTCAATTTATTCGCAAACAAAAAAACAAATCAATACCAAATCAAGTGAACTGACTGAGGGCTGATGGGCCGGACACACTTCACAAAAGAAGAGAAGACAGGATCTGGGCTCTGGCTACTAACCCAAAACAACATTCAAACCTCATAGAAATAAATCAATGTAAACAGGAATACTGGACCCGTCAAGAAACAAAGAACCAGCAAGGACAAAAGATCAAGTGAAAAAAATCAGAGCTAAACTCCCTAAATCAGGCCTGACCAGATTCACCTGGGAGACTTCAACTTCCTACTCAACATTAAGTGAAATCAATGGCATTTTGAAGGGCTATAATTCAGAATATGTATAAATATAAGAGAAGATAACATAAGAGGTACTTTATTGATACCAAATTGGGACAAGGCATTGCACATACTGTAAGTAGAAATTAATAGTACTAGAATTGAAACATCTCAAAATTGAATTTAAACGTAGAAAATATACAGTAGAAGAAAGAAAATCTATAAACTAACTGATGTTAAGGACTAAAGTAAAAATATTTGACTCACAGAAAGTGGAAAATAATACATTACATTTCATTTAGCTGATGCTTTTATCCAAAGCGACTTACAATGACCAATTACAGGGACATCCTCCCTGGAGTAACTAAGGACTAAGTGCCTTACTCAAGGGCACACTTCAGCCCACCTCACTATCCATTAGACCACCACTATCCACATAATATCATTTAATAGTATTTTTATGGAAGTTTTGTTGTAAGAAAATCGAAACAACTTTTTAAAAGTGAGGCTTGAGTGTAAATCTGTGCCAAAAAATGTAAGCGTAAAATCAAATATTGTGGTTTTATAGGTTATTCAATTAATTGTACCCAGGTAGATTTGGTTTGAAGTAAAATACATGGTATCTATCATCAGACAACAGGCAAATCTTAATTAAATTACCCCAGGATTCAAATAATTATAAACCACTAGAACAAACACGAACACTCAAAAATAAGAATAGATAAAATGTGACGCTGCTACTTGTGAGATAGCTGCTACAGGATGTCTTTGTTGGGATATGAAAGCTAACAGTTCAGCGAGTAGGACTGACTGACCTTTCCTCATTTCTGCACCAAAGGTCCCGTGTACACCGAGATGATCAACAACCTCCTGCAGCCAATCGTTGAGGCCAAAGAGTGCCGTCTGATCCGACAGAATGTTTTCCACGCTCTTCCCAACACGGCCAACACGCTGATCGGCCGCGCCGCTCACATCGCCGTCCTGGACTCTGAGCTGTTCCTGGAGAAGTTCTTCTTAGTAGCGGGGCTCAACTACTTCAAGTAAAGGTGCTAAACTGCAGGATAACAGGACAATATGTGTTGGTGACCTTCACGTTGTACAGTATATTCAATGTATATATGTCAAAGAAAGCTTGTAAATACAATTTGTTAAGATTGTTAGCAGCTGTTTAAAAAAAACATCAGTGTATTGTGACTGTTGAAAACTCCCAAGTCTGAGTTTGACCAAAACAAAACATCGGACAACTATAATTATGGATGTTTTAATGGCCTTATTAATAACCAGAGTCAGCAAGAACACAAACAGATGCTAATTATTGTCAAAGCATTTAACTTCTTTCCCTTTAGAGATGGTTTGAAACCTTCATTATGGCTGGTTGATAGGATTGTTTCATAACCACGAAACCATCATAACTATCCTTAGACTTGAGGCAATAGATGAGCAGCATTTATCCCCTTGATTGTACATGAAGTATTTTGTTGTACAAAGCATATATGTTCCTTTATACAGAAATTAATTTATTGTTTTAAATTATTTATTTTGTATCTGCTTGAGTGTCTATATTGTAAGTAGTCCATCTAAATGTGATCCTTTGTGTGTTGTCTTCAAGTCTATCAAATTAAAGCCTACAACAGACGTGAACCCTAATAATTAACCCTCCTATTGTCTTCGTTTCCCCCCCCCCTTACTTTGGTGTTCGCGGTCAAATTTGACCGGTCCTGTTTTTGCTATTACATTAACACAAAAACCATTAATCACCAAATGTCATTTAACACCCTTTCAAACTGTAAATATTGTATCAGACTACTGGTATACATGAAAAACTGCAGTAACTATACAAAGAATAGACACTGAACATGTATTGCGTGTGCCAGGTGTGATTCATGTGGGGGGATGGGCACATAAGAGCGGGAAATGTGTCAAATTGTTCTGTTTGTGTGTGTGTGTGTGTGTGTGTGTGCGTGTGTGTGTGTGTGTGTGTGTGTGTGTGTGTGTGTGTGTGTGTGTGTGTGTGTGTGTGTTTTATCTGATCCGGATAGTTACTAATTCCTTTTCTTTATGGCGGTCATTTTTGACCGGGAACACCATGTGTGTTTCAAAGTTGACTACATCATCCAAAATTCAATGAAAGTGGTGATCATCAATTGTATATGTTCAAATATCTACTGTGAAGGATATCATAAAGCCTTAATGCAATCCAATGTAAAACAAAAAAGTTATGATTGATGAAAGTAGTAAATCGGTCAGATTTGACCCGAAGACAACAGGAGGGTTAAGTAAAGTGGATATCTAGTTTTTACACATTTCATACAATTTAACTCATGGATTCTGATATAAATGTGAGGCTTCAGTATGGGAGAGCAATACAGCATCTTTTAATTATGTGTATCTGCTGTACTAGCCTTTATGTTTAATGTATTGTTTGCACTAATTGATTGCTAGATGATTTACTACTATCATTGGCCTACTGCTCCCTTCAGTTGTTGTTCTGTGTTTCTCAAGCTTTACAGTATTTGTTTCAAGCCAACCCAAAGTGAGCATCTTCCTGCTTTCCTTTAAAACATACATTTGAATGTATTGACGAATTAAGTGGCCAAAAAAAAAAAAATGCAAATGAAAACCACTATTACTAGCATGACTTCAACGTCTCTGTTAGCTAAAGGCTGACTATTGTTAATGTAATGTCCCGTCAACCTATAACCTATAACTTCAGATTAACAGATTGATTTGCTCATGTGAAAATCAAAATGATGTTGTTTTGAAATAGACCTATTGGACTGCTTGGCTTAAATACGGTGTGTATCTGGGTTTTCATGATTGGTTGCTGATAGTTAGCATGTCTGCATAGTTAGCTGGACATGCTAACATCGTAGCCTGGGAATTAATGATTGACCAGAGTTAGTCAGCATGTCTGTTTACTTAGTTGTTCATGCTAACGTCCGAAGCCTTCAAATTATTGATTGGTTACTCTTAGTTAGCATGCCCGGATAGTTAGCCGAACATGCTAACATTCGTAGCCTTGGAATTCATTATTGGTTACTTTCAGTTAGCATGCCCTGATAGTTAGCCGGACATGCTAACGTTCGTAGCCTTGGGATTAAGTATTGGTTACTTTCAGTTAGCATGCCCGGATAGTTAGCCGGACATGCTAACGTTCGTAGCCTTGGGATTAAGTATTGGTTACTTTCAATTAGCATGCCCGGATAGTTAGCCGGACATGCTAACATTCGTAGCCTTGGAATTAATTATTGGTTACTTTCAGTTAGCATGCCCTGATAGTTAGCCGGACATGCTAACATTCGTAGCCTTGGGATTAAGTATTGGTTACTTTCAGTTAGCATGCCCGGATAGTTAGCCGGACATGCTAACGTTCGTAGCGTTGGAATTAATGATTGGTTACTTTCAGTTAGCATGCCCGGATAGTTAGCCGGACATGCTAACGTTTCGAAGCTTGTCAAACTCTTACTCTTTTGGAAAGGCTAGAAAAAGAACTGTACACCGCTTCAACATGTGTACCGTAGAAAGCTTGACATGCCTATCGTACATAAATAAACGCTTCAAGCTTTGATTATACAATAACTGTTCAGGAGTGAGGTTTAGCAAACGGTCAATTATTTTGATAAACAGCATTGAAGCAAATATAAAGCATTATTGCTTGATGACTTATTTCAGTTTTTCCCTGAATCTCGTGACATGGACACAGAAAAAAGGCTTAGTGATACAATTAACTGCAAATCTACCAAACAATGTATGTGAAAGATACTCATTATCCATGACCAGCCTATATACAGTACAATCTTATGCTCTAATGACCATCACTTCCCTAATGAGCCGTTTTAAATTGAAATGGTCTCTACCATACATTTCATAAGGCACTCATTATTTTTTAAATGGCTTGAATCAGAACGTCATTGCTTTTGTTTTCTCGTTTAATTTTCCATAATGCAGACACAACCAGAGCCAAGATGCCCCTTCATTTCTTACAAATCGACTTTAATTTGTTGCGTGATGAAAGCAGGGAAGCTCCTTTATTCAGTAGCAGACACAGACTCATGTTATTTTTAGTGATGATATATTTTGATCATCTCATCAGCCAAATCAAACAAAAGTAGTTTCCTCCACAACCTCTGCTGTCACATTCAAGCACGACACGAAAGATGCCGTTTTCCAGAATTCTGCGTGAAGACTGTTTTCGCATCGCTGAGCTGTCAATCAAACGATGTTTACATTTTGACATAAGCGAACTGTTATCATAGCGTTGTCACAGACGTCTCAAACCCAGCGATAGTTATGAGTCTGCTGCATATGTATGTACACATAGAGCTATATTTAACCTTTGCAATGGTTTGATAGCAAGTGCACTTTATTGACAACCTTGAATCAACTTCCACAAGCTTTACGAAATCTTAACCACTATTTTTCTTGTGTTTTGTTTGTGTTTTTGGTTGAAACATGCACTGCTTCGTTCAGGCTGAAGGTCGCATTGTGCACTTGTTGTTAAAACTGACCACGGCTGTCCATCTTGGCCATTCAAGCATTGTACAGTCCTCAGAGAGGACAAAAAATGACATTGCAAAGTGCTCTTTTTTTGTCGCTGTGGCGCTGCACAGTAAACAGGTTGTCACCGTGATTGACTCTAATCAAATGGGCTCAGGATGCAGAGATCGCTCTCAAAAAACCACTAAGCAAAGCTGCGTAATCAATTTTTGGTAGCCGCCATGCATCATGCATCACTTCTCAATCCCCCCCCCAACACAAACACACACTGTATAGTGATGAGGCTGAGGCTTGTTTGCGTTTAAGGCCATGTGTGTTTACCCCGAAGGGTCAGTGGGAATCAATGGAGCAAAAGAAGTGTTGAGACAAACCCATTCAAGGGCAAACACCGAGTGGAGATGTTTCATGAGATTGACTGTATGGGAGGTTTTACTTGAAGGCACGATCAGAAATATGTGTATCTACGTTTCATTTTGTGACTAAATATGAGTATTAAGTGTACATGTATGCTGCTGTCATGACTGAGAGTGTATTCAGAGGTGATCTATAAACCCAATAGATCATCGCAAGTGCTGTCAACCTTCAAAACTAGCTGACTTGAACCTTTTTGTATTTGATTGCCCTTTACTGAGATCCTGTTTATGTGTGTGGAGGAGGAGGGTGTGTAAAGTGTGTGTGAGAGGAGGAGGGTGTGTAATGTGTGTGTGAGAGGAGGAGGGTGTGTAATGTGTGTGAGAGGAGGAGGGTGTGTAATGTGTGTGTGAGAGAAGATGCGCTATCATTGTCTGCTCGTTGCTTTGACATCCTTCATGTGTCTGATCTGAATAGAAATAATGTTTGACTCCACTGTGAAGAACATGTATTTATTTCATTCTGCACTTCTTTTGCTGAATGTAAAGTACAGTAAATACTACTTCATCCGTGACAATACTACTCTAATATTTTTATATGTTGCTGACTGTACTGTATGTATTCCTAAGTAGCTTGTGTTCCATGTAAAAATATAAATACAAATATATAGAGATCATAGTATTATTATGAACAGATATGACGTTACAATAAAAATGTTCCTTTTCCATAATTATCGTGTTCACGGTTTGTGTTTATTTGGCTGGCTTTCAATTTTCTGTTTGCTTTGTATTTGATGCTTTTATTTTGTCATATTGGAGGTATCCCTCTAAAGCAGGGGTGTCAAACTCAAGGCCCGCCACTTCATTTTATGTGGCCCCACAAGAGCTTGCAAAGAATATAATCAGTTTCTTATAAGGTTACGTGCCGCTTTACAGGAGCACATTGCCCATAAACTACATGTCCCACAATGCATCTCATTTTGTGAGATGCGCACTGAAGAGACTTGCAATTATTTGCCCTAGACTTCTGCTTTCAGACGTAGTTAATTATGAAGTTATTACCCTAGATAATAATCCAATGCAGAGGAAATATTGTAAAATAATACATTATTTTATATATATTATATTTATCTATGTATATTTATATAGTCTTAAAGTTACCACCGGCCCTTTGAGTGCAACCATAATTCTAATGTGGCCCGCGATGAAATTGAGTTTGAGACCCCTGCTCTAAAGGATAGCATTTCAATAGAATAGGTTTGGCTTTAGACATTGAAAATGAACTTTGTAATAGTTTGACATTTCACCCAGAAAGTAAGGAAGCTTCTGATATGGAGTTACTATTATCATCGAAAATTAATAATGTTGACACTTTATTTGCGTATGTCGGGAAAAATATATGCAGCTCCTTCCGTTGGACCTTCTTTTGAAAAGCTAAAAAGAGTATTTTGATAAACTATTGACACATGTGTACATCTTAGGACAGACACTACAATGTAATAGGGTAAAATATTATACTTATAGATATGAAACAATACCACACGTTAAAGGTAGGGTAGGTAAGAATGGAGAAACCAGCTCGAGTGCGCTAGAATTTGAAAGTACGTAGCCGAAACAAATCTGCCCCTTCCTTCAGACTTCCTTACAGAGCCCCTCCTCCAACACACACGAACGCGCACATGACCAATGAGGGCACGAGATAAGTTTGTGCACAGATGGAAGGCTGACAGGCAGGTAGGCCATCCAGTTATTTTAGCCGGGCCGGCTCAGATGATTGGTCGTGCTTTTTACAGTACCACGGCTTACACAGATGACATTTTTTTTTAAATGTATTGTCAAAGCATTTAAT